AACGAAAAAATCTGATGTGGTTTACACATAATCGAACGCGAATAGTGAAAACATTGCCTAGCTAGATTATGAAAACGCGTCTTCACAATTTTAAGGAGTCTAATCCCACGTGGAATGTAAATTTTTCGCTTAGTAGAGTTTCATTTTGTACCGAATTAAATGCAGAGTTCGTAAATTAATTCCTGTAACAATCATGACTCAAATACTAAATTCCAAGAAATGTAAAATCGGCCCCTATAATTCGATTTCCGAGCTCTGATCTTTCAAAACAAATTTATAGGTTCATCGTTTTAACACCATATTGAAAACTGGACATTCGAAATTTGATGCCATTGCATAACTTTTCTTATTTTATGCAAAGCGGTTGGTAGGAACCGTTATTTAATTTTGAATCCAACGTAAAAATCGTTTTTCCATCAAATGTATATGAAAAATATATGAAAATTTATCGGTTATTAACTATCAACTGTCATCTGTGAAACGTCAACTGTCAGATATCACCTGGCAAATTTCAACTTTTAAACGTCAGCTATCAAATGTCATCTCCCAAATGTTAATGGTCAATTTCAAGAAATTTCATCAATTAGTTCCGAAAATATGGTGAAAAATGTAAAATTGGCCTATAGTTTAGTTTCCGACCCATTAAAACGAAATTTGCTGCAAACACATAACCTCCCTTATTGTATGCAATGCGGTCGGTTGAAATATAAATTACGATATCCCAGGTTTTTTGTGATGACAATATGAATGCATCTTTAATATGAAAACATAGAAAGTTAAAAAAATCGCAACAAAAAACAAAAAGAGAAATATTGGAAAAAATGCGAATTCCACGCAACATGCGCCAATATGTTGTCGTTTTAATGTTGTGCAAACAACGACCTCCTCTTGGGAGGACATAAATATTAAATATCTGTACGCACATATTTATATTATGCATAAAAATCCTTACACATATAAGTATACTTAGAGTGTTATTAAATGAATTGTGCAATCAAAGTAAAAAATAAAAGTTAAAGTTGGAAAAGAAAGCAACAATAAATAAAAGCGAAACCTACCCCAGTATCAGAATTTCTTTTCAATACAAAAATATTCATATAGCCATATTTATATAGTATATTAAGAGAAAAATTATGAAAAATATTCTAAATATCGAGATATAAATTCGGAATCCTGCTGAGCCGATAAAAAAAAAAAAAAAAAAAACAATTTTTTTTCCTTATGCTTTCAATATTTATTTTACTTATTTTGCTTTTTTCATTATTACAAAATTTCCAAGATTTTTTGTTTTTACAGATTACAATTCTATATGTAAGTATTAAAATTATAATTACAAGTGCGTCCTAATAAAAAGGAGAATACTTGAATAATTTTGAGCCTTTGGTTCATTTTTTCATCTGATTCAAGACGAAGTTTTCGATCTTTATTTGAACTTTTTTGTTTCTTCACCAAATATTTTGTTTTGGTATACCCAAAAATATATTAGTTGCGTTGTGGAGCCATTTGCAGAATTGACCCGCAATTTTAGAAAAATTCAAGAATCTTGTCGGAAAAGCATTACAAAAGAAAAATAAGTTGAAATCAGGTGAGACTTCACACGAATGGGCACACTTAGTAGGCGTTGTCGGTTTATAAGAAAACCTGGTCTTGAGAGCGAGACCTGTAGCAAAGGAGAAGGGTTAGATTGCTGGCTCCGTCGTAACAGCAGAGGAGCTGCGGTACTATATGTGTCAGCTCCAATACTTACTCGGGAGATACAGTAGATTTTACTTTTGCTATGGTGGATGGAAGTGCACTATTGCCGAAATACCGTTAGTCTACAAATTTAGTTACGCTACTGTAACGGAGTTACAGTAGATTTTACTTTTGCTATGGTGGATGGAAGTGCACTATTGCCGAAATACCGTTAGTCTACAAATTTAGTTACGCTCGGGAGCTGTTTTTTTTAATTCACTTTTCTTTTTTGGATCAATTTTTAAAATAAAATTTAACTTCTCTTTTTTTTTCGAATAAATCGTAAGAACTCGGAACATTTAAAGTGAATTGAGAAGGATTTCTTTAATAAGTATATAAATATAAGACAATATCGTTCTTCTGATCTTTCCTTTCTGATACATCAATTTAATAATGTTAAAGTTTCAATAATCTTCGAATGAAATTCGAGCGTTACAAATAAAACAAAAAATTACTTTTTTTTGTTTGGTTTTTTAAAATTGAAATTAAGTTGTAATTTGGCATTTTTATTAATAAACGACAAAAAAAACAGTTTTTACAATTATAGGATATGGTATTTAGGCCAATAAATAAATTGCAATACCAATAATGTGGGCCAAAATATTCGGAGATAATTTATGATAATAAAGATTTGTGGACTAGTCGTAAAGTTCTTGTAACTTTAATAATAATTTTCAGAGAAGATTAATCGGGATCGAATATATCGGAGAAACCTATTACTATTGTGTAAAGAAAAAAGTTTTTTAAAAATTTAATTAGGAGGTTTAAGTGTTGCCTCTAATACAACATAAATTTGATAAATAAGTTTAGGAAAGCTGAAAAGTCTGCAATTTTTTCTAATAGATAACAATTTCAATTAAAAGTTTTATGACAAAAATAAATTTATCAAAAAATATTATAAAAAGTAAAATGAAATTCGGAATACCATCATATTATTAATATTTTATTGCAACGAATTTACTAAAAGGATTGTATTAAAAAATTGTTTAAAATGAAGTTATTTCCCTCTCTTCCTTCCCCTTTCCGATTCATCAACGTTTTTCTTTGATAACATTATAAAAAACAATACAAACAAAACGAGAAGTTATGCATTAAATAAGCAATTTTTTAATTAAGAAATAATTAAGTGAAAACTTTAATAAAAAAATATACATATATCCTACATGTTTGTAAGTATGAATATAAGTTATATTATATGTGTATAACAATTTGTACAAAAATATATAATATGTGTACACATATTTAATTCAAATAACGATTTGTAAATTTTTAAGAGGAGGAACAATAATATGAAAAAAAAGAAGAAATATTTAATTTTTTGATTTCCCAACTGGTTGCTTTTATTAATACACACATGTATATATATGTTATACATGTATATATTATTGTGTTGCACATATATACTCGTAAAATATAAATATTTCTTAATTCAATTATATTCGTGGTGGTCAATTGGAACTTCTGATAAAAATCTTTTGTTGATGAAATTGATATTCCAAACATGAGCATACACATAATTATGTAAACATTATAAGCATACAAACATTTGTATATATATATATGCTTATAAAAATCGCAAATATATATACATTCTTACATATTATACATACATACATGACGTATATTATAAAAATATATTAAGTCAAAAAAAAAAAAAAAATCAGTGGCGTTTATTTAATATGCCTTTTATTTTTTGTTCTTGTTGTTTTTATTTCTGAATTTTTAATTCACAATATTAATATTGATAATAAAATACAGTCGGATTTCTTATACGAGAAAACAATATGCAACAAATACACGGCTTATTCAACAATGTTTTTTATTTCTTTTAGATCTTTTAAACGTTATATTGCACTTTTAATGTTATTTATGAATCAAAGTATAACATTATACATGTGAATATAAACAAATTTTAAGTCGTATATATGTATATATATGAAATTACTGATTCATATATACACATATATATTATGTGCATATAGTAATAATTATTTAATTGATAATCTGTTAACAACGGTGATTATTATTATCGACAATATATTAAATTAAAATCATGTATGTATGTACATATGTTGCAAGTTTAATTCATATATAAATGAGCGTATATATATATAATATATATATATATATATATATATACATATATATTAACTAAATGTATGTAAAATATATAAATTGCAATTGAATTTTTTATATTGTAAATTTTTAAGCCAACTATCATCAATAAATTTTATACAAAAGCGTGTAACGATTAAGACACGTAAATAGGTTAAATAAAAAAAAAAAAATTATATTATAGGTTTTCCTCTATATAGTTTCAATAATAATTAAGATTTTAAAATAAGAGAAAACAAAAAAAAAATATATAATTGTGAAAATAATTTTCAATTAATTAATAAAACATATAGTAATGCAATATCTACTATAATATTTGCAGAAAAAAAAAAAAAAACTATGTGAATTAAGTTTATGGAGTTGAATATTAAAATATAAGAGTGTATTAGGGTACATATAGTTAGGTAGATCAAATACATATACACATAAAACTGATGTACAAATATTGAATAAATTAAAATGTGTATAATATGGCAACCTCATAAATCATTAGATTAAGTGATTTATTAGGTAGACTGTTTCGGCATAAAATCAAGTAATTATTGTAGACTGCGAGAATTTAAAAATTTTTTTTTTAAGGTTTTATAATTTTTATATACTTAAGTATTAGGTTATATATGGTTGAAGAATAAATTAAGTATTATTGATGTGCATTTAATTGTAATTATTTTAACAATTTAGATTAATGTTTTATATGCGCGCCATACACAGGAATTGAATTTCAAATATTAATATGAAATTATGACATTATTAGTTGGAATTCTCCGTGCAAATGCTTTGAAACTTTTGTTCTAGCAATTTGGAAGATAAAGTCTCCAAACTGACTATATATGAATCCAAAATATTTTGTACATTTAAAAGCTGCACGAATCATAATTTATTTATACGAAATGTGTACTTCTCATGAACAAATTAAGATTTAAAGGTTAACTAACAATCAAACTGTTTATCTTAAACCCTGTAAATCAGTTTTTGCTCCATTTTTCATTTTAGATCTATCACAAAATATAAGAATTTATTTACGAGCAAAAGTTTTTCAATATGAAAGTTCATAATTAATTAGATATTATTTTACAAAATTCTTATGAGTAAGTACTTAAGAGTTATACATACATTTATATAGTATAAATTAAAATCAATTAAAAACTTACCGCTCTACCAGCTTCATTATTATGTAAATTCATTTTTTCTCTTAAATTTCGTCCACGTTCACCGGTATCAACAAATTCACGTGAAAATTTAAAACCAAATCCAATATTATCAGAACAACCACCCCATTCCCAATCTCGTACACCAGCAACAGCATTTAATTGATGATTTGTTTGTGGTGATTTCGATTGATGACTATAATCACATGTACATGTATCAATTGTACCTTCACTACATGCTCTTGCAATTGAATGTGTTACAGCTGCACTTGTTATTGCATAAATAAAAGCTGTCTCACGGCATCCTAAAACAAAAATAAAGATAATGGTTTGAATAAATATACTTATATATATATATAATAGAACAAATCAATAGATAACTATAATATGGCGAAATTTTAAATTAACAAGTTGCAATTGTAAAAAAAAAAAAAAACGTTTTGTAATTTGAGAAAAATAATGCTATCGATTCGATTTAAAAAGGGTAAAATCACCTCTAAAAGTAGTTAATTTCAAGCACCTCAAAAGTGTAATTAATTTCAGTCTCATTTTGAGTGATTTACATTCTACACTGCATATTAGCATCGAAATTTTAACGAAGAGGATTGATGATAGCAAAATCTGGTATTAATATTAATTGAACTGTAAACAACTTATTGTAAACTGAGAACCTCGAATAACCAACACAAGAAATTCTAATGCATATCAAAATATAGAGGAGCTTTTTTTCATTTGAATAAGTTTTGATAGTTTAAAGCATACTTCTCATCTTCTCAAATGCTACCATCAAATTATCTCACTCTTATTCTATTTCCTATTCAATACGTATTTTTTACTATATAAAATACCTTCACATTTTTGTATCATTAAGTGTAGTTAGGAGTTGAAGGTATTATCATCAAGTATGTCATTATTTTCTTATTCCATTTCATTTGTCGTTCTAATTTTTTAATATTACTTGCATAAAGCTTTCACATTTCACACAATATATTTCAAGAGAGTATTTATGTAGTGTACTTATGCACAAAGAGTTTAATTGTGATAAATTTAACTGATTTTTTTTTTTTTATTGTTAATTGATTTGCGGAATAAGATTGCAAAGGTGATAGCTGAAATATCATAAACAAATGTTCATATAATATAATCTTATTTCCACCTATTTATACATATGTACATACACTCAATCAGACTATCACAGATTTTTACAAATTTCTTTTATAAAATACTCTTTGTATAATCTGTTTTCAAATCAGCACAACAGTAAAGATATTTTGAATAATTTAAAAAAACAAAAATCAGAAACAATTCAAAAATTTTAAAATAGCAGTGAAATAAAATGTAAAATACCGTATTATTAATATTAAAATATTTTTTTTCTTTCTCTTGAATTTTCATTTTTTTTTTTCATTTTTAATAATTTTAATAATATTATATTATAATATACTTGAAAGGGGTACCACACACGCTGCCACTATGCCATAATCATTTTAAATATTGAACTAAAAAACAAAAAAAAAAAAATAACTAAAATTGATTATGAGAGCATGTGAGTTAAAAGAAACAATAATTTTGTGCTCTTTTTTATTTTTTTGCTTTTGATTTTAACCTCATCTCTTAAGAGTGTTGTAAGGTAAAAAAAAACAAAAAAAATAGTTGAAATACACGATAGTAATATTGAAGATGATAATGATAATAACGATGATTATAAATTATAAATATTATATGAATTCATTTATAATAATCATTGAAAATCATATTATAATAATCAACATTTTATAAATAATATAAATGTGTATGTGGGTATATATGAAAAATATGTAATAAAAGAGAAATAATATTCTTGATAACTGTGATTAAAATCAGAGAAATCATAAATTTTTTTCTTCGCTTTTATAGTCAAAAAAAAAAAAAAACTAGATGTTTGAACTATTCACTTACGAAAAAAATTTTTTATTTAATAACTGGAAAAAATAATGCATACCTTACGTTGCTTTCCCGATTTATGTAAATTATTTAAAAAATATATTCACAAATCAATATATTATTATGGCAAAAATCCCGGCTAGAAACATATACAGGACTGTCTATTGTGAATTAGCCAGATAGTAATAACAATTTTTACGTATTATGATTGTTTATAAGGCAGACATTTTCCCATTAAATATTAAAATATTTATTTATTTTTATAAAAATGAAAAGTTTTTCTAACAAAAAATATTCGACGCTCAATATTAATTTATATTGAACGGCGGGAGCGTGGGGAGCCTGCAATAAGTTGCGAATGGCTGTGGTAATCCGGAGGATATGTTCTTTTACACCACTCGGTTTCCTTATGGAATCTATCAATCAATTCATATAGTTATGGTACAACGTTATTCTATATGTTAGAATTTTGCTCAAATTTCAGCACATATTCATAATTGAGTCTTACATAAATAAGTTACAATTTATGTATAACATTTATTTAAAAAATATTCCTGTTCGTACGAAAATTTTACTTTTCAAAAATCGGGACGGCAAAGTCCAAAATCTATATCGGAATTCTCGGTATTAGGAGAATGGTTAGAATGGTCCGAAGGAGACTACTAAAAATTTTCAATATCGTTTCTTTAAATGTTTGAACCTTTAAAACGTAAGTCCCGGAAAGTCATAAAAAATTTTACTATTGCACTTATTTACTAAAAAAATTATTTTGAACAATAAGAAAGAAATCAAAAAAATTATTACAATTGTGTAGGTACCGTGGCAAGATTAACACAAGTATAATAAATGGTCTAAAAACAAAATATAGTTTTTAAATGGAAGTTGGCAATTCAAAATATGTAATTAAAAAAAAAATATAGAAAAAAAAAACGACTATACAACATTCATATAAACATTAATCTCGTTTTCGGATAACACGCTCTTACTGTACCATCTATGTAATGTTTTTTTTTTTTAATATAAAACTGTAAAGTGCATGTTGGTGGTATGAATTTTAACACTAATATAAGTGGCCCTTCTTTGTCTTACTGTCTTTATTGTTGTTACTACTTTTCAAGAGTTTCATCGGTAAAAATGAAAAATCGGTGTGGAAAAATAAAACAAAATATGTGAAGATTTTTTTTTTTTCTTAACTACTTAGCTTATATATAATAGCTATGTTACAATTCAGTAGTAAAATAATATAAAATGACACATAAAATTGAGTGCATTGGAATGTTTTGGTATATAAAATATAAACTTTTAGAATTGACAAATGATCATATGTAAGATTTAATCTTTTATGTGATAATTTATTATAAGAGTTTTTAAAAGTTTTATTTTAAAAGAGACTATTCTAAAAGTATATATGTATATACTATTCTATTATCTTTAAAACACACATGAAGTTGAAAGCTATATATAGTTACAATAATGACAGTTGCACTATACTACATTTAGAGTTTTAATAAAATATTAAGTATCATTGAAAAGGTACTACGTGTACGTAATCACATAGTGTTAAATTTCCTAATGTAATGCTTGTGATTTCGAGTTCGGTATGTGCTACATATTCTTTTGAAAAAACATTTTTCATATTGCATATTTTTAGGGAAAATACAAATATGCATTCAAAGAAAATGTAAGATTTTTCTTTACTTCTTTGCTCTGGGAGAAATCAAGCATAACTCAAAATTTTAAATGAGAATTTGTTAATTTTATTTTATGCATTTATTATTTGACGTTTGTTAAATTCAAAAATTGTTTGCAACGATAATCGATACAGAAAGTATGCAAAAAAATATCATTTCTAGAGTATTAAGGGGCAATGGCATTTTTAGTAGGAAAAGTTGGCAAAAATTATTCTTTGATATGATTGGACCGGTAAAATTAAATTAATAGACCATTTTATTATACCCGTACGAACGTATCTTCGAAGGGTATACTAAATTTGCCTTACCGTTTGTAACGCTAAGAAATAACGGTCTTAGATATAGACTCAAGTGTATGTTGTTGATCAGCGTCAAATTCTGAGTTGATTTAGCTTTGTCTGTCTGTCCGTCCGTCCGTCCGCCCGTCCGTCTCTCCATCCGTCTGTCCCAACGATAACTAAAAAACTAATTGAGCTAAGTTCACTAAATTTTCACAAATGATTTACTGTAGTAAGTGCCAGAACATTATTTAAATTGAACATGATCGGGGTACCGGTTCGGGTAGCTGCCATACAACTTCAAAATTTATTTGGCTCAGAAACTATAAAAGCTATGGCATTGAAATTACACACAAGCGAATATATTAGTAGGGCCAATATGTCTGAAAAAAGTCGTTGAAATTTCTTGGCTCGTTCTGGTACCTGCCATACAACTGCAAAAGTTTTTTCGGTATATCTCAGAAACTATAAAAGCTATGGTATTGAAATTTCACACAAGCGAATATATTAGTAGGGCCGATGTGCTTGATAAAGTTTATTAAAATTTTTTGGCTCTTTCTGGTAGCTGTCATACAACTTCAATAGTAGTTTGGCACACAGAGTATTTTGAAAAACACAGCACTGAAATTTTGCATAAATTAATATGGTAATACGGCAACTTAAAGTCATTGTATGTCCCATAGTCAGTTATGGCAGATTTATTCGCACATAAGATAACAAATTCGTACGGGTATCACAGAGTTGACAAGGTCAACTCTATTTTTTCTCGTTTTTTTTTTAATTTTTTGGTATTTTTAGTAATTCTCATAAACAATTTTCTTTTTTATTAACAAAAATTTTGTTTTAAAAATTAAATAATACTCAGATATTTACATCCTTTTTTATTAAAAATTTTGAAAGGATATTTTGAATAAATGGTGTAAACGCCCACATTCACTTTAAAATTTGTAGTAAATTAAAAGAGGATATCCGTTTAAAATATCAATTACATTACAAACAAATTGCGCTCAAATTAATTTCGTAAAATAAAAATTTAAATAGTTTTCATACAATACAAAAATTTTTATTAACCTATTATTATTTTTTTTTTTTTTTGTATTTCTTTTATTATTTAGTAAATAATAACCTGTAATTTTGTATTTTCAAATGAATTTAAAATGCCCATCCTCCAACATCCTTTCAATAAAAAGATATCCTTTTCTGTTTGCACAATAAAATTAAAATCCTCAATTATTTATTTCGTAGTAGACTAAATAAGGATTCACAATCTCTAATTTAATGTATATACTCGAATGTATATATATCGAAATTTATGATGCAAGTAATGAATGAACTGATCATTTAAATTAAATGAAGGCAATAACATATTGACGTGATTTAAGAGAACATCATATTTACTTGCATGATGGTTAT